GGCGGAGGGGACACTGCCAGAGCGCTTCAGCGTGCCCCCCTGGGTGGCTTACCGTGACTACCGCAACAAGCCCTACGGCGTGCTCCTCAAGTGAGTCAGGGGGTTAGGAGGTTCCCCTCAAAATGGGGTTCCCAGGTCCTGGGGTCCAGGTCCCAGGCCTGGGCAATAGCCCAGGCACACAGGGTGGTGAGAAGCTGGAGCTTCAGAAGGGTGATGGTGATGCTGGCTGGCCCTGTGCTTTGGGGGGTGGCATCCTGTGGGGGAGGGTGGATGGGGAGGGTGCCTCTGACCCCCCTATTTTGGTGTCCTGCAGGACGGGAGAGGCCTGGCGCTCAGACCGCCTGATGCTGAACAAGGAGGTGCTGTCACCACAGGTGGTGGAGGGTTTTGTGCCTCTGCTGAGTGATGTGGGCGAGGACTTCATCCGGCGGGCACGAGCCCAGGTGGCGAAGAGCGGCCGGGAGCACTGGACGGCTGACTTCACCCATGAGCTCTTCCGCTTTGCCCTGGAGTGTGAGTGTCAGGGGCATGAGTCTCTGCAAGACATGTTCCCCCCAGGAAACACCTCTTTGCAGGGTGCCCGAGATGGGCAACGTGCTACATTTCCCCCAGCTTCACCCATCGGCAAACAAGCTTGAGGGGAGAACCCTCAAAGCTGTAGGGTCTAGAGGGATGTCCTCTCTCCAGACAAGTAGAGAACAACTCAACACTGTTGATAAAACACTGTTTTATCATTTACCAGTCATCAACTGGTAGCTAACCCTACCCAACAAGGGATGCCTCCACGGCCCCATGATGCTTGGAGCGAGGGGGAGGCCAAGCCATGTCCCCGTAGCCATGGAAAGGCTGAAGTTGGTCATGGGATGGTGGAGGGGATGGGGACAGGGTCCCCTCTGTCCAGGTCCCCTCATGGGTGCTGTGGTCGCAGCTGTGTGCCATGTGCTGTACGGGGAGCGGCTGGGGCTGCTGCAGGACTTCGTGGACCCTGAGGCGCAGCGCTTCATCGACGCCGTGACCCTGATGTTCCACACCACCTCGCCCATGCTCTACCTGCCACCTGCCCTCCTCCGCCACCTCAATGCCAAGATGTGGCGGGACCATGTCTGGGCCTGGGATGCCATCTTCACCCAGGGTGAGCGCTCCTTCTGCCCGCATCTCTTTGTGTCTCCCAAGGCCCCTTTGAGGCCTTGACTTCATAGTGCAGCTTCATCTCACCAGCACGGAGACCTTCTCCTGGGTGCAGCCACCCAGCACAGGGCCACCAAGGCCAGAAAGGCTTTCCACATCTGGAGCTTGTGGGAATGAGCAGTGGGGAACCATCCAGGAGCAATGAAGGGCAAATGATGGGCATCACATTTAGGGGAGCAGCTCTCCCAGAGGTGCTTGTGGCATCAGAGAGCTTTTGGCATCTGGGACAACCCTCCTGCAGGCTGTCCCCACCCTGGGGTACCCTCACCCCCCACCCTCTGTGCCCACCCAGCCACTGCTGGGTGCCACAGCAGGGACCTCAGTCCCAGGCTGCTGCAAGGACAGCTGTGATAGAAAAGCCACTGGCATGGAGCAGTGATGTCCTAAGGTGGCACATCTGGTGCCTTCCTCCTCCACCATTGTCCTGGGGGAGAAAGGCCACGTGGCGTCTCCGTGTCTCCTCAGCGGACAAATGCATTCAAAATGTCTACCGGGACCTGCGGCTGCAACGCAAGAGCACCAAGGAGTACATGGGCATCCTCTGCAGCCTCATCATGCAGGAGAAGCTGCCCTTGGATGACATCAAGGCCAGCATCACCGAAATGATGGCTGGTGGGGTGGACACAGTAAGGAGCAGGCAGTGTTGTTGGGCAGGGAGAAGGTATTGGCTGGTGTTGAGCCTTGCTCTCCTGTCCTGCTCCAGACCTCCATGACGCTGCAGTGGGCCATGTTTGAGTTGGCACGATCCCCAGGGGTCCAGGAGCAGCTGCGGGCAGAGGTCCTGGCCGCCAAACGGGAAGCAGCAGGGGACAGGGTGAAGATGCTGAAAACCATCCGGTTACTCAAAGCCACCATCAAGGAGACGCTCCGGTGAGGAGGAGCCCCCACTGAAAAATGCCCCCAGCCCCTTCCCTCCCCAAATCTCTGGCACTGCTGGGACATCATGCACCGAGGTGGGATGTGGGTGGGCCAGGCTGTCCCCAAAATCAGGTGCATGGGACCTGTCCCCCCCAGGCTGCACCCTGTGGCAGTGACCCTGCAGAGGTACACCATGCAAGAGGTCATCCTCCAGGACTACCGCATCCCCCCCAAGGTGAGCACGGCCACTGGGTCCCTCCTCACCCTGACCTGTTTTGCATGGGGCTCTGGGTGGAAGTGGGACCCTGGAGCATGGGTGGGTGACGTGGGGGGAGAAGCTGTGGGGCTCATCTGGGGCTGGATCCCAGCCCTGAACCCCCTTCCTGCACTCTGAGAGCCCAGACCCACAGGGCTGATCCTTCCCTGCAGACGCTGGTGCAGGTCGGTCTCTACGCCATGGGCCGGGATGCCGAGGTCTTCCCCAAGCCGGAGCAGTTCAGCCCTCAACGCTGGCTGGCAGCCGGCCCCAAGCACTTCAAGGGGCTGGGTTTTGGTTTTGGACCCCGCCAGTGCCTGGGGCGCCGGATCGCTGAGCTGGAGATGCAGCTCTTCCTCATGCATGTGAGCATCCTGCTGCTGGGGACACTGGGGACTCGGCACTGGAAGGGGCTGGGCAGGGGGCACCTGGGTGTTGGTGCCTCCAGTGTTTTCCATCCTCTCTTTTCTCCTTCATCCCAGATCCTGGAGAACTTCAAGATCGAAACCATGAGAGCAGTGGAAGTTGGGACCAAGTTTGATCTCATCCTGATCCCGGATAAACCCATCTATCTGACCTTACGGCCACTTGAGTCCCAGGCATGAGGAGCCCGATCCTGGGTGGCACCCAGCCAGTCCTGGCTTGGGGGAGAGGCCTGGCTTGGGGGATATCCCCAATAGCCCAGCAGGTGCTTTTGGCTCCTTACAGCCAGACTCCAGCACAGGGATGTGATTTGGGGGATGGCTGGGACGCTTTCATGGCCACAGCCTTGGCTTGGCGCATCCCTGCCTTCGCTCCAGCCCGCTCAAGGCTGCGCTTACGCCACGGGGGAGATAAACCAGAGCAACCTCAGCCCTGCTCCTGCCCCTGTAACCCCCAAGGGAGCGTGGGGTGGGTGGGTGTTGCTGCACCCCTCTGACTGCTCAGGGTTCCCCAGAGACGACATCAGGGACCACAGCCATGCTCCCTCGACACCCTCTAATATTTTGCTTTGCCTTGAATTTGCTCTGTAATTTCATCATGTGAAAAAGCACCAGCTCCTTTTTG